AACTAAACACAGTACTAAAGAGGCAGCCTCACCAGTGCTGAGTAGAGGGGGACAATCACTTCCCTACTCCTGCTGGCCACACCATTTCTAACAATAAATACATTTTAGATTGGCTATTAGGAAAAATTTTTTCACTGAAAGGGTTATCAAGCTTTGGAACAGGTTGCCCAGGGAAGAGGCTGAGCCACCATCCCTGGAGGTATTTAAAGACATGTAGATGTGGTGGTCTAGTTTTGGCTGAGATAGAAAGGGAATTAGCTTCCCTACTCCTGCTGGCCACACCATTTCTAACAATAAATACATTTTAGATTGGCTATTAGGAAAAATTTTTTCACTGAAAGGGTTATCAAGCTTTGGAACAGGTTGCCCAGGGAAGAGGCTGAGCCACCATCCCTGGAGGTATTTAAAGACATGTAGATGTGGTGGTCTAGTTTTGGCTGAGATAGAAAGGGAATTAGCTCTAGTAGCTGGTATAGCACTGTGTTTTGGATTTAGTATGAGAATAATACTGATAACACACTGATGGTTTTAGTTGTTGCTAGGTAGTTGTAGTGTCTAAACTAAGCCAAGGACTTTTCAGCTTCTCACACCCTGCCAAGTACACAAGGAGCTGGGAGAGCACAGCCAGGACAGCTGGCCCAGGCTGGCCAGAGGGATAGTCCCTACCATAGAACATCATGCTCCAGATGTAACTGGGAAGTGAGCCAGGAGGCAAATTCACTGCTCAGAAACAGACCGGGCATCGGATTTAATTTTTTTTCCTTCCACATGTGGTAAGCAATTGTATTTGTGCATCACTTGTTATATTATCATTATTGTTATTATTATTATTATTCTCTTCCTTTGTTATCCTATTAAATTGTCTTTATCTCAACCCACAAGTTTTTTTCCATTCTCTTCTCCATGCCCAGGGGGGTGGAGGAGCGCACTAGGGGCTGTGTGGAGTCCCTCAAGCAAGGTTTAATATTCTTTATAATACATGTGGCCATAAGTTTGAGGACTAAAATATAAAGTTTTGGATTTTTATCAGCTGTAGCACAGTGAATGAAGAATTGACATCTCCCTAGGAGCACACAGAAAGCCTTTGACTCGTGCAGTTATATTGACAAAGTGCTGCTTTCATGGCACTAAATACTTGATTGATTCAATTAATGTGCATCATGTTGGATTATAGCTATTTGATGTTTCTGATGTTTTATGTATTAATCTCTTTGTAAGAAAATCAAATATATATTTTAAAAATCGTACTAGGCTAAAGAATGGCTAGTGATTAAAAAAAAAATCTCCTGAAACCACATGGCCACAGGAGTCATCCCATAATGCTGGTACTTGCATCTGGTTATAAACATACAAGTAACTTCTGCTTTGTTTTTAAATATGTATGATTTTAACTATGCTGCAAATTCTTTTCTCACTGCAGCTGGCATGGCAAGGCAGGGACTGTCACAGGTGCTCCCAGCTAGGGCCACCATCCCCCAGGCTGGCAGATGCTCCTGACCTGAAGCTACTAAGAACCAGGTAAGCTGAAATATTTTGAAACACATCATTTCTCTCCTCACCCTGAACACTACACACAGCTGTTGAGGGCACACCAACAACAATACAGACAACAACGGGTGTGTGAGGGGGGTGGCATCTACTCAGCGTGGCCCCATCCTGCCAGACTGCATAGGAAGTGCTGCCCAGTTTAGTGGCCAAGTAGCACACTTCAGCTCAGGCAGGCAGAACAGAGCAGTTTTACATTTTTTGGAACATTTCACTCACCCTTTTTCCTCCCCCTCCAAGCAGTTCATTTCTGAGTCTGCAAAGACCAGTGTCACTACTGCTACATGGAACTTAGAGCAACTATAAACAATGAGAGCGACTTAAAAGACTTTCAATCTTCTAAACAGCAACATTTTTAATTTTAAATCACTGCACTTCAGCTCTGCCCACAGAGTTGATTTATGTGTATTTAGTTTTAATCATCTTTAATCTGGAAAAAGCATGTAGCAACAGCAGCAATCTTTCATTTTACAGATGTACAGTTGGCCTACTCTTGGCCTCTCAAAGAAATCAAATCAAAGAACCTTCATACCAGAACTGGCTGATTTAGATATTATGGCTGCAGATGGGCACAAAAACATGAAATAGCTTTACTTTCATTGTTCTTTGGTGTTTTGCTGTCCTTCAACAACAAAACGTGACACGAATATCCAAGACCTTAAAAGATGAATCACAGAAATTATTATAACACAGAACTGTTTCAAAGCTCCTAAATTAGAAATTTGCAGTTTACTTCACCTGTAAAAATAGATACAGTACACAACAAAAAATTAGAAAAGGGCTGTAATTTTCCTCGGCTATGTGAGAAGATACTGTTCCACTATTCTTTCTTCGACTTCAGAAGCAACAGTAGAATCACAAGAAATGTTTCAGACAGAAGAAAGATAATTTTAGTTATTAGCATTTCTCTCCTGTTAGAATTTCCCCTTTGGCCTTACCAGACTTCCAAGATAACAGTAGGATTTCTAACTATACCTTGGCCTAGCAATCCCCAAACCTTATACTTCATACCATTAAGTTAATATTAAATTGTAAGCATTTAATTCTTAAATAACATCTCCAAAACAACAGCTAAAAACCGATGCAAGTATACCTCTAGTTTAGGTATTTGGCTGTTATAACTACTTGAATTTTACTAATACAATATTATATAAAAATTCCACTGATTTTTATCATATTAAAGCCAGTGGCTGTCAACTGCTTCAGACTAGGATCTGGCAGAGATCTGTACCTTGGAGATGTCATGCATTCTGAAAGATATGTTCCTATGGGTCACCTGTTTTAATCCAAAAGTTAGCTCTGGTGGGTTTTTCCTTTTTTCTTTTTTTTCCAAGTAAAAAGATATTCCTTTGTGCTTCACTGTAAAATTATTTTTTTAAAAAATCTAAATAGAAAAAGATATTAAAATAAAAACATCTAAACCCAATCCAATTGATGGCTGAAAAAGCCCTTGGAGTTCCACACTAGACACAACATTTGGCTAACCTCCAGCCTCAAGCTGACCATTCCTACTCCCTCTTCCTTGTGCTTATGAACCAGTGGCAATAAAACAAAAATTTGAAAATAACTTTTTCGTGTGTGGAGGGGGTGGACAGGACATTAGAACAGTTCCCTAAATTAACAGATCTTATTGAAGTAAAATATTCATTTCCGTGTGGTTCTTCAGCCTAGAATCACAAACCCTTGCAGGAGGTAAACGGCAGCTATCAAGAAAGAAAATTCATCAGACATCTCTGTGGTTTAGTCACCTGGCAGACATCAGAGCGTATCCCTGTTTTCCAGAATCCCTGGCTACTCAACTCAACGGTCACTTCACGTCTCATTGTGTTCTTCTGACGAATTTTCTGCAGTGCTTCCTAGACAGGGAGAGAGCAGAGCTCCTGTGAAAAACCTTCTAAAACAAAGCAGTATCAATGCACACGAGTGCGTTCACGATACCAGTTTAAGGTTTTGTTTTGGTGAGCAGTTTTAAGACTAGTCCAAATCTTGTAACTGCCAGCCACAGACTGGTGGACATGCTGAAGTACGGTGTAGACAAAGGATTTTGGTAGACTAAGAGAACAGAGGCAACTACATTTTTCTCTGCAAATGACAGAACAAACCAGTTCAACTCACACATCCAAGATGTGTAAGCAAGTTAAGGCCCTTAGGAAAGCACCTTTTTTACCCTTGTGTGTGAAACAACCTCTTCCTTCAAGTCCATCACCATGAGTATTCCTGGTTTGAAGCATTAACATGGTTCAGCCCCAGCCCCAGCTGAGCACCACACGGCCACTGGCTCACCCCTCCCCCAGCAGGGTAGGGAGGAGAAAGGAAAAACAAAAGGCAAAGCCCCGGGAGTTGGGGTAAGGGCAGGTTACTGGGAGGGCAAAGGAGAGGGAAACAATCAACAGTACTGATAACAGATATTCACAATGGGTGATAACAGAAAGCAATTTACCAATCCGAGCACCATGCTACTGCTGGAGCGGCACCAACCCGCCCCTCCCCGCCTGGCCCCCTTTTATGGGGAGCATGATGTCACACAGCATGCAATAGCCTCCTGGCCAGCTTGGCTCACCTGTCCTGGCTCCTTGGGAAATTATCCTAGCCAGAACCAGGACAAGCATTCAGTAGGAGTAAAACAGACCAAGTAAAAGAAAGGCTTTGTTTTGTGATCTCAGCTACTTCATAATAGTTCCTGTTCAACATTTTTAGTACTCCTAGTCTGGGAAAGGTGTCAGCATTCACCATCACTGTTATGACGAAATCTACCAATATTATTTCAATTAAAAAAAAAAAAAAATTGTTTCATCTTGACAACTGGCTGTTTGGTGTTGTGTAAACAGTTTGTCTCTAGAAACTATGACAGGGACAGAATCATTAAAAGATTCTGACAATTATTACAAGAAAATTAAATTACAAGAATTACAAGAAAATAAAAAATGAAATGAAAGAAAAACAGCTAAAATAAATAACCCCTGGATCAGGATCTCCTGGTTCCAATACTACAAAGCCTCCAGGGTATGCAAGCTCCCCACACAGCATGCACTAACGATAAAGACTCCCTCAGTGCTCCTCCTGCTTCTGAACAGGAAACTTTTCAAAGGTGCAACCCAGCCTCCCTCTCCTTCTCCTTTCACTACAGTGCACTTGCTCAAAGTCATCTCTTCCCAGCTTCCAGTCTGAAGCCTGTGAGCATCTCTAGGCAGGAATGGGCTCTGTCTTCTGTTCTGCAGAGACTCATAGAGTGGTTCCAAGAGGTGCATCTATCCAGATGCAGAGTCATGAAACCTCAGACACCTCAATGCTGAGGCGTCTAGGGTAGGAGGCTGGTTAGCCCTGGCTCCTTTTATATTCAATGAAGGAGGATAAATAGCTTCAAAAAAATGCATTTCTCTCTCCATTGACTTCAAAGGGAACCTTCAGGTCCCAATTTATGCACCTGCTGTAAATGCTCAAAGTTAGGTTAGAGGAATAAAGCCCCTAGGCACGACCTTGTCACAAATAATAACATCATACAATCTTGTAGTAGTGAATAACCAATGGCAGAGGGAATAGAGATGCTTACAGCACTGCACCCCTTGTGCATTGCCTAAAATTTGCATTTCAAGGCTATGTCATTGAATGTTTTCTGAGAGCTGCTACAATGTTTGCTAGATCTAGCTGTACTTTTAGGCTGACTGGCTCAGGAGCATTCCAGTGTTACTCGTAATATACGATTCATAATTTTTAAAAGCCCATGTACCAGTCAGGTGCAGTCCTACTGCTCCTTCTAAGTTACTGACACCTCCACTGGCAAAATGCATAGGTTATCCTCACATAAAGCTTCTGCTTCAGCCCTGTATGGCACTCTTATGGTAAACTACTTGATAAACTCATTATCCAGATAATATGATTTAGAAACTAAAAGCAGCACACCACACAGTAAGTGATAAATAGCAAAGGAGCATTTTATCTTTTGAAGCAAAAGATAATTATTCCCCTACATCCAATCCACTACATTTTTACAAATAAGTCATCCATTAGTCCCTAATGAAAAGATGCCCATAAAAAAATGGTCTTCCCTTCTACCTGCTTTGAGCGTAGAAAGCTGTAGCAAACAAAATCACCTCCTATAGGGACAAAATTTTTTATTTACTTAGAATTGTGGCACAATTAAGTCACAACATTGTTTTTCTTTCCCCATTTACAAATAAAGAAGCTATGGGCTTATTTAATATCAGCATATATAAAATGTTAACTAAGACTCTTGCTCATGCAACAGCATACTAGGCTTTGCAGTAATAATAAAAAAAATCAGGTGCAATGTCAAATGTATCAAACATTTACTGCAACCAAAGCTACAAAATTAGCAAACTGGAAAAAGACTCAGGAATTGGACTCAGTGATCCTCATGGGTCCTTTCCAACTCAGGATACTCTATAAATCATCAGGGTTTCTAATGAATAAATAAATAGACAACACCACTTAATTAAATTACATCCAGTACCAAAAAAGTTAATTTCTCCTCCATGTATTCTTTACGTAAGTTGTCCAAGTAAGAGTGCCTGGTAAACGTGCGCCAAAAAAATTCAAAGTGTCAGTCCAAGATCTTAAAAAAATAGATACCTGAGAGCAGGCTGCTTTAACTCTATATTTAGGTGACTTTATTTTTCTGATTTTAATTCCCAATTAGTTGAGCATCTGCACTTAGGAAATGCTTATTGCTCATTACTTCAAGAGGAAAAAAGAGAGAAAAGAAAAATTCAACAAATGAGGTATTTGTCATTAAAGATTACTGAAAATAACAACAACCATATGGTTTCGACTCAAAGATCTTAAGGAATGTCACTAAGGCTGCCTAATAAATTATGGTTTAAAACCAGGCACAAGCATAGCAGTTTTTATCTCAGAAAAGAAATGTTTAAAGTTATGAGTCAGTTAAAAATGCACTCTGAAATAAAAAGTCCTTCTGTATGCTAATTCTTGAAACCATTAATGGCAACGGCTATAAAGAAGTTATGGTTCTATAATGATCATTTCTATAATTGGGAAAAAACTTGCAGTAGGTTGACAGCTGAAAAAAGGAAAAAATCCATTCACTAACAAGCAAAGATTAAAATAAAATTAGTGTTAACAGCCTGAAAAGAAAATCTTTTGTGCAGGATTTCTGTTGTTTCCATAAACAGGATGGTCATATGGCTTTATTCTATCCTGAATTACCATGCTCAATCACCAGTTTTAGGAAGGTCCAGCATACCTCTCTTTGTGATAATTTCTGTTTATCAGCCTGTTTGACTTTGGGACTGTTAGCCAGCAGGTGACGCAGCTTCACGTAACTCTTCCACAGCTTTTGGTATCTAAAGGACAAAACCAGAAAACCAATATTTTGGTCGATACAAAACCAGAAAACCAATTATTTCGGTCAATACACAAAACAGTCTCTCACCGTTTGTCCTTATGAACACACCAGCTGCTAATAACATACCCATATCACAAAGGATGTCTACAAGCATCTTTTTGCTCTAGAAAAAAAATCTCAAAGCATTTTCCAAGAGAGGTGACAGTGTCTCTGCAGTTGTTCCAGCAGGGTGGGCATGGCAGCAGAAAGGAGGCATTAGCGTGCAGTGTGAGGTAAACTGCAAAGCTCAGGGCAGAACCCAGGTCTCCCAGATACCCACCCGTCCTCTCCAAAGGGTCACCTCTGCATGCTGAAAAGACTTGCCTGCAATGTGCCACCTCAATTCAGGCAGCTGAAAACTCCCTCTTCTCCACAGGGTTCACCTATCACTCACTGAAATGCAACAGTAACCTTTCCCAACAAGTGTCTGTCTTTACGCTGACTGAAACTTCTCAGTGAAGCACATGAGGAAAAGCTGTACAAGTCACGTGCAACACAAAGTCATTCTGCAAACAGCAAAACAAAAGTTGCATTCCCTATGGGTTTGTGCTGAATGGAAACAGCAAGTCAAGTTTTCTCTGTGGTTAGCATATACTTTAGGTTTCTGGTTTTCTCCAACTGTCTATCCTTTTCAAACAGGAAAAGAGGGTGTCTAATTACACATGAACTGCAATAACAGAACTTTTCCTCAGTGGGAGTCCCTCTGTGATCTAGCACGGTTTTTCACAAAACTTAACTTACTGCATTTGTAGACAACATCCCACCATTATATTCAGCTGCTAATGACCAACAGGTTCAAAAAGTTACTATGGGAGAAGCAACCAAGAGAAGTCATGATATGGACCTCATGTCCTTAGGAAACAATGCTATCTTCAAAATAGTATCACCTCTGTAGTTTTTTCAAGGAAAACCATAAACCCAGACTTTTAATAGGAAGCAAGGAATTAGAGGAGAGGGGGAAGAAGTTTACCCAATTATTATTTTCTTTTATATTCATATTATAAAAGATCCTCCTCAGCACCAACTTAGAGCAGTGGCTTTAGTAGGAAGTTACCACACTAAGTGGCAAAGCAGTAAAAGAGCTGCTGCATCATTTACTATTTTGTAATCTTCCCAGCATCTCACATGCACAGGCACACAAATCTCTTCTTATTGGCATTTTTTCCATAGCTATTTCTCTGCAGCATTCTTGAATGTATACTCTCTGCCTCTAGAGATACTGATATTTTCCGAGTCTATAAACACATCTAAAATGGTCAATTCATAGATTTTTTTCCTATGCCCTGTTCTCCGCATTTCTGCAATCTGCAGAATAGCACATCTATTTTTGTCAAATTCCCATCCAAAGAAGAAAAGTGAGTTAATGAACAAACCAACAAACCAGAAAACAAACAAATGCCATGAGGAGGTTTCAACCCAAAAACAAGAACCTGAAACTATTATCTACAATATAAGTTTTACTGCTAGTATTAATACGGGTGGAACGAGCTCTGTTATTGCAGTTAAGTTTGAGAATTAATAAACAGATTACAATAACAATGTAATAATTCTATATTAGAACCTCATAAAGAAAAGACAGACTGGAAGAAAATCTTTTCTGGGGACTACCTATTTCATACATACACTACCATTAAGCCTGAGGTTTATGATGGCACCGCAGAGGTCTTTCACAAAAACTGCTTTGTTACTTTGATAAAAAGAAGCATGCCTAAATTCTGTAAGCAGCTCTGAAAAAAGTCATGGAAATTTTAAGGAAAGTTAAAATAAAAAAAGTGTGGGAAGGATAATTTTTGTATCTTTATACTGTTTTCAATGCAAGGTACTAGAACCTTATAAATATGAAAAAATTCAGCATCAAAATAGAGATGGTTCTTATATTGTTTGGTTGAATTATTTTCTTTTTATAGGTAAGAAAACTAAAAGACAAGGAGGATTAAAAGTCATACTCAAAGCCAAAAGAAAAATATGTTATCATCTGGATAAGCACTCACTCTTCCCACTTCCCACCATAGTCAATCTAAAACTCTCAGCAAGGAATTGCAGAAGAGTGTGTCTGTCATACATGCACATAGGAGTGATTTGGCCTCAAAACTGCAGGTGAAATTCAACGTCCTTAAAAGACACTGGAGGAAAATGCATGGGGAAAAAGACAACCTGAAGTACACATGCGCAAGAGATGGGCTCTATACTGGCTGTCATCATTCAGAAAAACAGTCTCCAAATCACTGGAAGAGTTCCCTGAAATTAAGAATTGTGAACAAAATCCAGCAATCACTCTTATGCCACTACATTAACCCACTTCTGCCTGAAGTTCTCATTCTCTCTGCTCTTTCTCTCCACTCTTCCAAATCTCCGTAAGGATATAAAAGGTACAGACAGAAGTAGCATGGACGCAACAGCTTCCAAGCTAGGGAACAGTACATAGACTTGATCCTTCAAGGCATAGAAAGAGACAACTAAGTAGGATATGGCAGACTGAAAGAAAGATGAATGTCATGAAGAAAGCAAACAGAAAATGGTTATATTCTTCATTATTAGATGCGAGACCTGAAGAGCATCTAAACAAATGATCAAGTAACAGATCTGAAACAAAAGTCAGTCCTCTTTCATATGATACGCAATAGTACTAGGGAAACAATTACCTGGAATTTTCTCCCTGTCAGTAGCATGAAAAGATTCAAACAGTGATTTGAGAAATTTAGAGAAGGAAGGTCCATTCAGGGATGTTAAAGTGATCAAAATACATCCTTGAGCTCAGAAGTCCATATGCTATAGACCTTTGGAAGCCTGGGTAAGTATTTCTCCCCCTCTGCCTTCCTTTTACACTATTCTCTCTCTCAAAATCCACATCCAGCCTCTCAGAGAAATAATGTGGAGCTTAAGGAACCTTTAGTCTGACCTAGAAGAGCTGTTCTCAGGTTGAGAAAATTCATATTGCACATGCATGCACATTTACTTCAGCAAATCCTTAATTATGGCAGGAAAAAGAAGTTATACCTTATATTCTCTAATTTACAAGAGCTAGTGTCCAATACCATAAGCACTAAGCTTTATATCGGACTCAATTAAGCACATAAACAAGCCCTATTTAAGTCACAAATGACAACAGTAACGATTTTCTGAACAAAAGATAGAAGGAAAAACATCTTACTGAGGATCTCCGGCATAACTGAGTTGAGCAGGTCGTATCCCAAAGTGGACAATAATGGGGAAAGTAATTACATCAGAACTGAACTGTTCACGGTCCAGTTGATCAATACGAACTGAGCTGGGTTTCTAGGAGAAAAAACAAAATATACTTAATTGACAACAACTCCATGGAAAAAATATTGCCTCTAGCCCACACTATCCAGTAATCACAAAGCAGCAATATTCCAAGCTTATTGAAATACACATAAAACAAACCATTAGTATTAGAATAAATATTTGGCAATGACGGTGACTGAAACAAAGTTAAGTGACTTAGCTCTCCCAGTGAAAAAAGGAAATCATCTTATTTTCATTTTACAAGTCAGGAAATTTACAGTTTGATTATTTCCAAGAACTCAAAGCAACTTTCTTTAGTCGAACATCACACTGGAAATAAAATCAGTATTAGTGTTCTGGCATCTAAGCTCCCACATGCCTGAGTAGGTTGCTAAGATCAGCTTACCTCTCTAATTTTACCTCTGTTCCTGATTTCCCAAAGAAAGTGAAGCCATTATTAGATCCATTCAATCACACGAACTAAACAGCATTAAAATAAATCTGTCATGCTACTCTTGGAAAAGGCTCCTAGGCTGATGTGTACAATGAGGAATACAGTCTTGTATAATGAGGAGACTTTTGTCCATTTTACACTTCAAAACAGAAGTTGTTTTTATAGTTAAAAAGGAGAGTGTAGAAGGAGGCAACTTTCGCTTCACCTCTAAAAACACAGAAAATGAGTAATTGCACATCACTGCAGAAGAAATGCTGCTTACAGAGCCCTTGATCACTCATCTACCATATTTAAAAACTCAGCTGAAGGTGCACAGTTTGTCTCCAAGTAAACATTTTCTCTATTACCTGGCCAAGCTGCTTTGTTATGTGCCTCCTTACTCCACACTTTGCAATCAGCTGGATGAGGCCTGTATTTTCTGCTTGTCTAAGGTTTCAGAAAAAGGGCATTACTTCTAGCTACCTGCATCTCAAAACTTCTAATTTAGCATTGTGAGTTTCTCAAAGATGGTTTTCAGAGCTACAGAAACAGCTCCCACCATTCTCTTCACAAAACAATAGAAACTGTGTCAAGAACAAAGCTTTCACCCTTCAAAACACCTTGGTAGAACTGTTTACAGGAGTCATTTTCTGCATGGGTAAGCAAAGCCAATTCTAGAAATAAAGGTAAGTCTCATCAGGTGGCCACATTTCCAATCTATTCTAGGAAAAAAACCCAAAAACTTACTTAAAACTTTGACATCCAGCTAGAGAAATATTTTCTAAGGGACAAATGCTTATCAGCTTCCCTTTGGACACGATGACCGAACATAAGTTTACATCTCCCCAGCCAAAAAAAAAAAGAGAAAAATATTTAAAAGTTAATTAGCTCATGTTGCCAAGTTTAAAAGAAAAAAAAAGAAAAAAAGAGGAGAAAAGGTTTTCCCCACAGCACTTCCAATAAAGAGGGATTTGGACAAAAAAATCTAATGAAGAACATGGGAAGGATTTGTAGCAGGCAGAATGTTGTTCTCTAAACCAGAGGTTAAAGTCCTGAAATTTATCTGGTTTTGTTGAGTTTGCACAAAGCCAATTTGAGAAATGTTTATCTTCACAAAAGCTGTTTGTTGGTTCTCCCCTCTCAACATTAAAAATGAGGAAGTTCCCCCATTCCTATCCCCCTTAGAAAAGCAGCCTTGCTACACAACAACTCCTCTGAGAACCGAGGTGGCAAAATATGATTAACAGAATATCAAACAATAATTATACTCAATACACTAATTATAACAAATATTTTTAAACAATTAGACTATATTTTCCTCTTCAAATATTTCATCTTTTACACTTAAACAGAAGTAATCTGATCCTCAAAAGTGTAAAAGGGAGAAGAGCTTTCAATATGCCTGCAGCAGGGTGTGTGTGAAACGTGTGGCCTCAGAATCACTCAAAACCAGACTTTCTCACCATTTATATGCCACTGCCTTCGAGTTTTGTCACTCAGTCACGCAGCTGTTCACAGATGCCTGATAACAACCAGAACAAAAGAAATCCTTGTTTAAAACAATCACAATTGTTCCTTCACTGACAGTTATGAGAGTAGCTCTGCTATGCTTTTTTCCTTCTACATGGTGAAAACCAGCTTCCTCTCTGGTGTTGCTTCTGAAGGTTTAAAGTACAAACAGCACCATACAGAAACATATGGTTTATACTGCACACCAGCAGACAGGACACCAGCAAATTAGATGTTGCTCTTCCAGATTTTTATCCCTGTGTTCTTTTAAAAGAAGTGCTGTGAGAGACCATCTAATCACAACCTTCCTTTTAAAATCTCATTGAAAACAAAGAAATTCTAACAGAACAGAGGCCCATTATCTTTGTTTCCTACTCCAAACCTCAATCAATGCTTTGCTGATATTAGAAGACATGATGAGATTGCATGTAGATGTAGTATAAAAGTATGTTAAAATATATATTCGAACTAGTGAGAAAAGCAACAATATTTTAGGAAGAAAAAGTGTGAAAGAGGATTAAAATTTGTGAACCTTTAAATCTATTCCAACACAAAGTTTCACTGAACTAATGAAACACTATGAATAAATTAAATTTTTTAAATAGTGCTGAACTATTGTTAGTTGTTTAAGTAAATGGGATTTCCTTTCGCCGTCATGCATATATACATGTCACTTTGAAAAAAAAAATAAAATACATATATAAAACCTAAATCTGCTCAAAAGAGGATTTATTATTTCTTAAATGATGTTGTGGAGGAAAACAGCAAAATAAAATTTAGTGGGTTTACTTTGTTGTGTCAAGTGGATAAAATTGAAGAGCTGTCATTTTCTAAAACAGTTTCACATTGTCTCTATAATAGAACTGTTTTATCTTTTAACGTTGTAAAACGCTTAGAAAATACTTTCACACTATTTTTCACTTACTTTCATACTCAACAGAATAAGCTGCAATGAACAGAAAAAATCCACAAACTAAGAAAATCATTACTATCTTCTTCAGAAAAAACATGTTCAAATGATGGCATTATAACATGACGTTTCAAAGTGCTGCAGATTTCTTTTATGCTTACATATTTTGATGTCCACATGCATCTCTGAAAACATCATCTTGTAGAATGCAAAGTTTGTCAGTAAAAATCACAAAAGATCTCAAAATTAACACTACCACTTTACAAACTGCACTTATAGGCATTTACAGTTCAGTGACACAAGGAAGGAGCATATATGCATTCCTTCATGCTAAACAAAAAAAGCAAGTTTTCAGCTAGCTGAAATCGGCCTATCTTCAGCAAACCACTGAAGTTGTGTCAGTGTATACCATTCAGGTGCTGACAACTTGTGCACTAGTACGTACCTTGTAACACAGAAACGACAGGCAATGTTAAATTAAACAGTTAAGGCTAACAACTCCTATTACGAGATCCTTGTTTAGCACTCAGTTTTAACCAGCTCAAGTAGAATTTTCCATAGTGAGAGTTCACATGTATACTGTATCAAAAGGAAAATCAAAGGAAAACCAGATTATCCTGCCCAAGTTATTATTAGCTTATAACGTAGTTTACTAACTGTAATGCTGCTACACTTAAAAATATGAATTTGAAAAATATACTTAGGAAGTCACCTTGGCTGCAGTTTGGGGACAGGTTTTTCAGTTAGCAAACTAAATTTCCCCTTAGGCATGATACCAAGTCACACTTTTTCTGGAGAAGCTAAGAAGTTGAGCTATGAGCAAAGAAGGAAAATAAAGTCAGAGAAAGAAAGATATTACAACTGAGAAGTCTATAATATTAGGTCCAAAACACACCTCTACTACTGAGATACCACTGTGCAATACTGATCGAACCATGCAAATAGAACCCTGCAGCTCTTAGTGGACATCATCTATTCTCATGACCCACATTTCTGAAGAGTGACAGTCAGAAAACTGGGCTAAATTCACATAAACACTGGAGTTGAAAGGAACTGTGTTCTGAGAACATATGCTTTAAAACACTAATTGTTTCAAAAATAATAAGGCCATAGGGGCTTCAAGCTTGGCACTGAAAATTAATGGATGCATTCATTAATGTACACAAAATTCCTCAGTGTGAGTGAAAGCAACATAGAAACAATGTGGAAAAAAACACATAGGCAGAAAACACCTTTTCCATATCCAGGGCAGAATCTGGTTAGAGCACTTTCAACAGAGCTAGGGGGTCAAAAGAAGATGATGAAAGGAAATAGCGAATAGTTACTAATTCTCTGGTCCTATGTCAGGGAAAAGAGAATGAGATCATGCACATAAAGACTGTCTGAGAAAATAAGAAGGCAGAGGAGCAAACTACAATTTCATGTACATAAAATACAGCCGTTCCTTTTAACGCACACATTGAAACGGTGCTCATCTGGAAATCTGCCCTTGGGTAGAGCAGCAGAGGGTGCAATTCTTCACAGGGTTGGAACAAGTCAATGAACTGTTCCTATAGCAATCTGCAACTGTCACTTGTCATCTTTCCCCTTTCCAGTTCAGCCTCTAGCAGCCTCTCTGAAACAAGACATGTATGTGTCATTGGGTTGTTCATAAGTCAGAAATATTTGCTCTACCATGCCAGGGCTGGTAACGATCATCCCTTTGCATTCTTCTGCATATTTCTGCCATTCCAGTTCTTCCCACTGAAGCATGTTGGCAATCTCCTCTTCAGGCACCAGAGCTTTACTGCATCGTAACAAGTAGAGAAGAATCTGATGCATTGAGAGTACTTCTTTTCCTCCATCTTAAAAACATAAATAAAACACATTGAGGAAAGAATATCTGAAAGCATGAGCAAGAGAAAGTATGCAGAACACAAAATATTTGTACGAGCAAAATAAATTGCAAAATGCTTAAGTGACTTGACAAATAGGAAGGCAAATGTTTTATTGATTAATACTGCACATGCATAAACACTTTGCTAAACTGGAAGCTATAATGGTAATGGCAGGAAGAGTAACAGTTTCATCATACTGTAAAGCTGAAGTTTCTGACTTGCCTGAAAAAACTTTAAAATGAGTAGGCAGAACAATCAGTTATATTTTCCAGTTATGTCTTCCTTTTCACGCTTTTATCGTTCTTTTTACAATGGTAGTTAAAAAGCCTTTAGGCATTTATGCAGCTTTTTTAAAGAACACTCAAAATTTTACAGGATACTTCTGGATCAACGTAGTAAGTTATCCTTGCATTTTAAATTAATCTGTAGTTCTTACATGCTGTACCTGCAGTAATGAAGACTAAAGAGCCTCATGCTGTGTTCTGTCACTAAATGAATCAAGGGGACATGAAAACTACTAAATACTTCTGAGACCCCAGGAAACATGCACAGCAAAGGCTGCTTGTAACAAAGGAAGACAGTATAATAAACATCTGTCTGACTCCAGGTAGCCAGTTACAGATGTGAAGACGCAAACAGGAAGGATGAGTGAGTAATGGTCCTGACAGACCAGCACTCAGAAGACACCAACTATTCAAATTCAGTATGTCCACTCACAGGAGTAAGACAACAGACATGTTACTACAGTGCTTTAATTTTGACACGCAACTCTCCAACCCCCTCCAACAACAGGGTGTTAATTTGTAGGTATGGAGGCACCTTCAAGTTTCATCCACACAGAGCACAAAAAAGGGTTGATTTCCTTTCCCCAGGAAGCAGGAGCAATTTGGTCCTGCAACTGAGTACATTGTCTCCATCACTACACACAAAAAAAAAGGAAATGGAGAAAAAAACAGAAGTAAAGCCTTAGAACAATGTGGGGGATGCTCCGACCCCCTCCAACAACAGGGTGTTAATTTGTAGGTATGGAGGCACCTTCAAGTTTCATCCACACAGAGCACAAAAAAGGGTTGATTTCCTTTCCCCAGGAAGCAGGAGCAATTTGGTCCTGCAACTGAGTACATTGTCTCCATCACTACACACAAAAAAAAAGAAATGGAGATAAAAACAGAAGTAAAGCCTTAGAACGATATGGGGGATGATGTCACAGCACAAGGAATGTGATCCCAGGCACACAGGAAAAGCCTCGCAGAACTGCTGTATAACAGCAGCATTGCATAAAATGATGTCCTCTACGAGACACATGAGGGAACAGGCACTTCTCTTACTTCAGCTGGGATTACAGCACTATGGTATAGAAAAGATGAAAGGGAATAATATATCTTGGCCTCTTCAAACAATTAACCTAATTCAAACTCCAATAGCGAATCTTAAATGGGGAAAATACACCACAACCCTCACTGGAAACAGAATATACTCCTAAACAGGCAAATTTTTAGCTACAGGGGCAGATTTTTAAACGTGCAAAATTCTCCTTCAAATTAAAGGGGGACTCAGTTTACAGACTTTTGTCTTTGACAGTAACTAGATTATACTATTAAGCAAGGGGCAGCCCATTTCCAACAATCGCTAAAAAAAAAGCGTAGCCTTACTCACTGAAGACCATGTACCAGAAGGTTACAGGTTGCTATAGACAGATGTGCTAAACAGTAGTTGGAGACCTGACCTTTCCTGAGTCAGAACATGAAGTACTTGGGACCTCAAATGTTTGTTTTTTTCTAGTCTTTTACTCTCTTAAATATATTTATCATCATAAAAATCTGTGGCAATGAATACAATACAGCAACTACTCTGCATGCTATACATCTCCGGCACTCAGTAAAACCAGGATGATTAGCTCAAAGCTTAGAGCTACCCCAAGGCCTGTCTTTAAGGAATCCACACAGAAAACTTGACATCCCAAACCTCATATTTTTAGACCATATTAGAAAAATAAGAAAGAAAAGTAGAGGGGATGGGAAATCAGCAATTCATTTCTATCTTTGAAGAGACAGCTGATGGATGTGCGGAGATCCATTGCACCAATATATCTTCTTTGATTAGACATAGATAAATAATGTTCTGCAAACATACCTGAAGGAAATAGATGCCCAGTCTCTGGAAATTAAAAAACTCCAAGGATATCTCAAAAATAATGAATACAAAATGCAAACTTGATTAAAAAAAATAATCTGTCATAAAGATGCTAAAAGGCAACTATATATGCAGAAATACCAGGAAAAAGAAATTTTTATAAAGCGTTAGAAGGCTGGGAACCTTAAAGACAAAGCACACAGGAATACATGTTATAGAGACTTATCCAACAATCCAACAGTGCAGAAAGAGCTGATTTCTAAACTAAAATAAAACAAATCAGAATATAAAAACCCCAAACTAACAAGAAAACACCCTCAAGCTACAGAAACCAGGCAGGTCAAACTTGTTCTCATTTTGTGATGAGGTCAAGTTAATCAGCCACATGTGGCTTGATGGCTTATTTTGTAAATTGCTTCAGCAGAACGAAATCAATGTTTGCTAGCAAGCCTCAGAGCTCTGCTTCTGATTGAACAGTGTTGCATATCCAGGAAGGAACAACAATTAGAAATATAGTCATCTAGCCATCAGTACTCTCCACAGTAACGAGCCAAACCTCATTTAGCTACAGCTATAATTAATATCCCAACTAAGTTTGAAAGCCCAGAGCAGAGAGCACCTCTAGGCCACAGCCCTCTTGATGAAGATTGTTCCATGTCCCATCTGCACCCTCAGTCCAGCAGCTGAAACGCATTCTCCTGTCCACACAACCCTTCTGGAGCAATCACTGGCAGGATCTCAGCAGGATGCATTTCCAATGGAGCCATGACATTTATATCAACTGAAAGTCTGTCCTAGTATCTTAGGATGTGTTAAATGCCTGTGTAAGCTGTTCACTCAAAACAAGCATAATGCTCCACACTGAAGCTTGTCCTTGGCTGGCAGGGTAGGGTTGATATTGCATTGGAATGGTGTTTTTCTGTCTTTCACTGTGCTGCAAGGTCTAAGCTTTTATTAACATAAAGAAAGAAACAATCAGAACAACATGTGCTCAGAGATGCCAATCATGCTGACCCTCAAAACTGCACATCAAGAATTTTAATATAATCACATAGCATCCTGAAGAGCAGAGGGGACACTGAATTCAGTTTCACATGCGAGATTAGGTAATAGCACTCCTCAAATGCCACAGCTCCATCGCAGGGCAGGACAAGGATGACCCAGCACTGCCTAAAATCACCATGACAGACACAAAAGTTGGAAGCAAGACTTGGCCTGCCCACCTGAACCCAAGTTCTGAGTAAACCAACCACATTGCCAGCAAGCACTGCCAGCTTCAGATGGAAGCACCAGACCTCTACACTGACTGAATCATTTGTCTTATGCAATAAGGGTTTTTTTGTGGGGTGTGGTTTTGGTTGATTGTTTCTTTTTGGTTTTTAGATCTAATTTCCATAAAGCTACATAATACAAACATTACCTGGAAGAAATCTCACAAATCGCGGCATGAAGTGAAATCTGGGGCAGGAAATAGAATCATTTTCAAGTGAAGGACCTTAAACATGAAAAAAATACAGAAAATTTAGGAAGAGCAATATATTCGCAAAAGGAAAAAGAAGGTAACCCTGCTGCAGATGAAATCAATGAACAGTGATTACATTTGATAGAGCCTAAGTTTCAATCAGAAAAAGTAACAAAATGGACAGCAGAGAGGAACAGAGTAACAACTTCTAGTGAAGGCTTTCACATGGACAATTTCAAAGAAAGCAACAATAACTTAAAAATTAAAAAAATCTAACAAAAACACAGTAGTTTTATTTAAAACAGTGATACAGAAAAAATTGTTTTATATAACTAATTCACTTAAGCCTTACAGACACAAGCAGTAGTTTATTAGTCCCTCCCAATTAGTGGGGTGTTTTTTGGTTATGATAAAGACAAGGAAATTTCCATGATGCTATTTTGTGGGGTGGTTTTTTTTGTTTGTTTCCTATTTCATCATCCAAAGCTTTTCAGGAAAATAAAAACAAAACCAGTAAGCACCCAGTGTTAAGAAAAGAAAGAACAATCAGAACCAGAAAGACAACATTGATATTAGAATACATTGCGTATCAAAACAAAGGTGGCTACGCAAAATGCATGAAACTTGTATGCTCCTCTGTTTAACTGCAGTAAGTGGATAGTGCATCTCCATAGACAAAGTCAAGACGCCAAAACACACGTACAGATTCTGAAATGAAATTCCTTTGATATTCTGTTTTCTTTTAGACCAAGGGAAGGATCACCCCTGAAATTCTCCTTTGTCACAGTCTTCACAGAAACATGTATTTTCATCTCGTCAAGTCAAAACCATTCAGCTATAATGATATGTTATCCCTCTATGGCTGTCTGTATGACACTGCTTTGTAAGTTGACTGCAGAGAAATACTTTACAAGTAACTTGCGTCTTCGCTTCTAAAAACAGATAAGAGTAGTTTACCTGACACCTTGGCTTTCAAAAATACCACACAGACAATACTGTGCAATATTAAACATACAATAGTATTTACTGTTTGATTAAAAAACAGTAATTAAGGATTAAGGAAGAAATTTAGTTTATCTGCAAGAATGCAGTGCCATAAAGTTTGTGCATTTTAATTCCTACAGCCCACTAATGAATGCTAATATAATTCATCTGCTTGAAGAACAAAGTGGAAGTTTGTCCCTCTCACATAAACAAAAATTTGACTTTGTTCTTTTGAGGCCCCTTCCCACTTTTTTCTTTTTAAACCAAAGAAAATAACAAAACAGACATTTACAAAATAGCTATTTACAAGAGGTGCAATTATAATTGGATTTTTGTATGTTTTTTCCCCCTAAATAAAAGTTACCTTTAAGATTCCAGTCATAGAGCTCCAAAATATCTTTGAATAGATATGAAGAGAACAGTTCAAGACCTCTCACACAAAAATTCTGGAGAAAGAAAAAAAAACACCTAGAATTATATAATACAAATAATGCCACTCATGTATATTTAAACTAAAAAATGAAAAAAACAGTGTCTTCATAATTGCCAACTGCTAGACACAGGGCTTTGGAAACAGTATTAATATATCTGTAATCATCTACTGTAACATAATACAGTGATCTCTTCAGAAAACACTGTCAAGAACACATTGTAATGAAGACTTTAATCAATGTTGAAATTAACACTATTGGCAGAAATTATGAATCTGCAATAATTTGCCATGCACTAAAACCCTTTCACCCAAGTAAACCAAACAGATGACATTTCTGAGAAGGATATTTTTCATAATTCACTTGAATTAATTCATGAACCTACATGCTATCAATTCTATAGCAACGTATCAGTACAACACAAATTGAGGATTTTGACCTTAAGAGCCAACAGGAAAGGAGAGAAAACAAAGGAAAAAAAAAAAAAGAGTAAGATTCTTCTCATCAAGTGGGGAAGAAGGTCTTCCAAGTTAAAAAGCTTGCATTCAGAAGTGAAAGAACTTAAAAAGCCTGCCTTAACAAAATCAGGCCAGGTTGATGTAAATTGCATGTGTATGATACCGGCCATAAATTCCAAATGCAACAAGAATATCTTTTGCAAGAATGCTTTAGTAAAGACAGTCTGCAAATAGTGCTGCAGCCAATTGACCAGGAGTACAAAAAAAAAAAAAAAAAAAAAATCAAATTCCCTATTTTGCTTGGTGGCCATTTGTTGTTTTAGAACAAGATTTGGAGACAACACAGCAGATTCAGTAACAAGAAATGAATCGCTTTGATCACATTAATCTTGCTAAGGAATTTCAGGGCTCTAGCATATATTCAGATGCTGTTGGGCAACAAAAAGAGAGATAACTAGAAAGAAAAATGTAAATATACATGGCCAAATTATACACCGATCCTATCTTCGTAGTTATATGCAGGGGGTTTATGTACCTACATATGCTGTTCCACTGCAGCAATTTACTTCATAAACTGGCTTCACCAGGGATTAATTTGTAATAAAAAAAAAGATTATGAACTGAATGCGCTTTGTTTGTATCCACCGGAAATTTGTTTTGGCAACAGCTTATATTAAGTACTGATAAGCAGTCTTCAGAGCTTCAAACTCATGATTAACTTTCGGCTCTGCCATTGACTTATGCGGTCCTGGCAAACCAGCATCTCCATATGCCTTATTTTTGTCATCTGTAAAAGAAGGGTAATGCCTAACTCCACTTACAGATAAAAGTACCTGACATATATTGTATATAACTTAAAATGAAAATCAGCTATGGATATAAGCACTTCTTACTATTTGATTTTAATATACCATAGCCTAGGTAGATGGATTTATGCTAGTACCTGCGAGTGCAAGTTCCTTTGCAGCCATTCATTCAGAACACAGCCTGTCTCAGAGACTTCATGAGATGGGATTCTAAAGAGTTTAATCCATTAAGGATATCAACAACTCATAACCCACTCTGACTTTTTGACTAATTATCCTCCTTACCTCAGGCATCATCTCCTCAATGAAATGAATTGTATAGTCAATGTTAAATCTGATTACTTTACATAGAGGAATCTGGAAGGAAAATAGAAATTCAGCATGAAAAACTATACAGCACCAAATGTATAGTTAATACAATTTTGTATGCAAAGGTATTACTGTCTGCTGAAAAGGGCACTTAACAGCTGCTCTGGGGATCACGCAAAGACAGGAACACAAGCATGTACAAGAGAAGTACAGTTCTAACCTTCACCTCTGTAATAACACAAGGCTGACAGGAGGGATGGTAAAGGAAGATTAAATAATGCCATCTACTGGAGATGAAATTTTGTTTAGAAGAAAAAGCAAAGCTCAGTAAACTCCTATCTTCTCTTACTTGTATATTCGGAAGTGAATTTATTGTTGGTGACACAACACACCAGTGACCTGAAGGCAAGGTGGTTTTAGCACACTGCCAATTCTGTTAGCTATACTGTCTTAAAATGTGGCTTTAAGTCATAGCAACACAATATAAGAACTTCAGGATTAATTTATAGGATTATAGTAATTTCATCCAATAAATATTCTCAGAAGTTCATTCAACTAACCAGTAAGACAAGTAGCTAATTCCTTTTTTCACCTTTGAAAAAAGGTTCCTTTGTTTGCAGAGTCCATGGATTGCTGAAGGCATTTTTTTTTAACTGGATTTTTTAAAAGCAAAAATGCTAAATTGCTAAGACTACAGAAATGCCTAATCCTACCCTACATATCTACAACTTTTAGCAAGTTTTACTATTCACTGGCCTTGCAAGCATAAAAGAATCTTAGAACAATTCAATGGTCTGTGGAAATGAGGCAACCCAAGGTTATTTTGCATTGATAAGCACACAAATAAATATCTGAACAGTGTTGGGGTTGCACCGAAATCAATGGACTTAGCAGTGGTGCAATATTCTGCTTGCATCTTCTTGCAAGTCAATCATTTAACTAACTTCGTCTACAAAAATCTGTTGATATCTACATGATAAACTAAGGACCTACACCAAACAATCAAATAAAAAATTGCATTGCCTATAATTTGATGCAATATTAATGTGAATAAAAAATAAAAAACCCTTGGAAGTCAAATATCCCATTTAGAATCTGAATAAGAGGAAAACCTGTCATTTAAATCATCAGGGCTTCAAAAAAAAAAAAAAATACAGGGAGTGTTTGCTTACTTTCTAACAAGTACAACCAGGAGAGGATATTCTAATTCAGAAACTCAGTAGCCTGGGGTATTTTCCTTTGTACTGAATAGAAAATAAATGCTTTAGAGAAGTGACCATGACCAAAATCTCCATGAATTAGAGTTCCACGTACACAAACAAATACATAGCAAAGGAACATGTGGTTGGTACTATAAAATTGTTGTGGTAGTTATATTAAAGTTATAATTTCACTTATGACTATACTATTTTCCCTAATATCTGACCTGCTCAATAATTACTGAGTAATAGTAATAACAGTAGTAAGACTTAACAGTCTTAGCAAAGCTAAGACTTCAAATTACAGAAATTTGGTTCATTCACAGATGTTGGTGTTCGGATCTCTATTTTTCCTACCCTTTGCCACTTCCCTGTTATCAAATATGTTCCAAAATGTCTTTCAAACAGCAGTTTTTATGTTGCCAAAAATAATCTCAAGACAGCAAGATATTCTTTCCAAAGGGCTTTATAGCTGTTAGCAACAGGAACTGACAACATGATGTTGCTTTATATTCAACTCTAAAAAAAGTAATCATTTGCTGCTGATCACTTCTCCTATTTGGAATGAGAAAAAACACACGTGCACTTTACAGTAAGCTCAATGTCTTCAATAACTACCCATGTCAGCAAAAAGAGTTTTCCTTGTTCTCTGTACATTAAAGATTTCCATAACTCTCAGCCTTCCTGTCATGCAGTAGATGAAAAAATTAGAAAGATAAGGTGGTCTTTTTACCCTTTTAATGGGAGTAAAACAAAACTGTTCCTTTTTGCTCATTTGCAAAGCAAAAACGTAACGTCTCGGAACAAATCTGCCTTGAACCCCAAGGCTGAGCTAATGCTACCTGTCAGGGCTGCTTCATACTACAACCCCATGGGCTGAACACTACTCTTAATGACTTGTCATCAACATTACAGTCCCTTCCCTTGATCACCAAAAGTAAAGTGCTGTCATATATATTATGCAAACAAACTGTCATGAAAAAATGCTTTCTTCTCAGTGCATCTCAGTTCCAGTATTCTTACATGCCAATCCTGTACTGATAACACTCTTATACTGGGTTTTGGCATTGGTAGTGTACCTAGTAACAGGTATAAAACCAAGGAAACAAACCCCACAACATTTGAAAAAACAGTTCTTGAAATATCAACATAAGAAAAAAAATATTCAAATGTACAGAAATTAAGTATTTGCATATTTTACATTCAGATATGGCTTATATTGGAAAAGTCAAGTACCAATCATGTCCTTTTCTTCCTATATTTGCTTTCAAAACATGAAATTAATTGCCTATAAATACCTACAACTTTTAACAAAAATCAGTAACTTGCCTAGTTCCTGAAGAAGCTGAACAGATGTTAGAAAGTAGTGGCTACATCTAGGTAAGTTTTTAGAACAGAGAAATTCCTTTAGAGTAGATCTCTGAAAAAAATCCATTTGTCACTTAAAGAGAAAGCCTTTTTTTTATTGTTGTTGCTGTTTTTCAGACTTTCACCTTAGCAAACCTCCTCATCCAATTTAAATCCAATTAAAAGTTTTAACAATTTATCCCATGGGTTATTTCACTTCCAAACTGTGAAATACGTAAAAACATTACTTCGATGCACATCACAGTTTCAGTCACAGTTTGAAGACAATGCTTACCACAATTAGTCAAGACAAAACCTGAGACTCATTAGCACATGTGTCTTTCCCATGTCCTCAAAGCTGGCGAGATATTTGTAACATATATGCACCGTTGGTTTAGATAAGTCCTACTTCAGGGAAGAAACCGCTTACCTTCCAAACAAATCCCACATATGTAGCAATGAACATACTTACATTTGTTAGTGGGGCATGTGCAAACATTGAGAACCCTTCAAAGATATATTCATGATCATCATACTCAATAACAGTAGGTCTGTCTGTCTAAAAAAACCAAAAAACAAAACCACCATTGAGTAAGCAACGAGTAGTAGAACTACCATCACTGAAAACAAAATTAGAGTGCTAGTTAGAATTATTTATAAACTACTTACTAAGAAGTTTGTGGGAGGCGACACAGTAATTCTATAGTGGTATAGTCTTCCAGCATTGTTGGTCATGGGGCGACATGGTTTAATGGGCTTAAAGAAATAGATAAGTAGAATTATGTGTAGAGTCAAGGCAAATTTAGATTAAAAGAGAGAATAAAGCATTTCTAATAGCCATGAAATATGCACTAGGAAAAATTAAATAAAAGCAGGTAGTCATAATTAAGCATTCTGGGAAGTGGGAAAGCGGGGGCTTATCTACATTTTCACTTTCAGAAATATTTTTAAAGCTATTCAAAAGGAAATAAGGTGGAAAACATTGCTGTAATTTTTTCATTTTCCATTTGACTCTCCATCTTCCTTACACACAGCGGTTAGTTGCTTACACACCAGACTAATATCCCCTTCTATATAAATTTGTTTCAGGAAACTGATTTTAAAAGCTTATGAAAATGAACCTGGACCTCACAAGAGAAAATCTCAAAGTATGTTATCGAGATAGACAGGTATCAGCTCATCTGCTTGGGGCAAATCTGGGGCCTGAAGAAAAGGGGTTAGTCTATCACCAACAGGCAGCTCTGTTAACCCTGCTCTGTCTTCCATGTTGCAATGCCTGCTTGCGAGGTCCAAAGGCAGCCAACCCTCTGTACACTCTGATGCAACACAAAATGCCTGGGATTCATGTTTTCTTTCAGCTTGTTCTGAAGCAGTCCAGTTTAAAGACCTAAAAATCCTAAGCAGTCAGACAAAAACAGTTTCTCATATGCCCTACACTCAATTTGCTGCAGTTCAAAGGCTGCCACCAGCCTGTTCACAATATATCTGTCCGCATGGCAAAAAAAAAAATTACTGCAGCATCAGGGTACTACTCTAAACAGCATTACAAAAGTTGCCCTGATGGCAATGGCAAGATAGCTACGCCACTACACAGCTCTGTGCATTTTGCAAAACCCATCCAATAAGTATGCTAATTACTCTGGCTGTTCAGCCCCAAATTAAGCTTCTCACTGCTGCAATAAGACAGTTACCAGCCAGCCAGTTTAAAGCTAGGCAGTTTTATCTACAGGACACTGTAAAAACTAGTATATCTTAAGAGATTTTCTGAAATGCCAAGTTCCCAGCTGGCCTTGCTCCAGGGAGCAGCCGCCTTGCTGCAGCAAGTTTTACATATCAGTTTTCTCCTGCTAAAATTTTCTCCTTCCTTCTCTGCAAGAAAAACACTAGACACAATGTGGGGAGGAACATTTACAAAGCAGACATGCTCTAGTGCTAAGGCAAGAACACCTCCTGACAAGCTTCCTGCTCCTGTCAGCAGCAGAATTCCTATTTTATTTACTTTTAAAGCAAATAAGGCCCTCATAACATACTCATCCACTTGAAGATGGTAGATCTCTGACTACAAGTTCTTTTTTAATGTAATTGTGTTTCAGAAACTTAAAAAAAACAAACTAGACCTAAACAAAAACAAGCAAAAGTTTTCCATACTTTTCAGGTGGATTTCATTACTGGCATTGCACTTGAAACATGAAGTTACCCAACTAAGTGATTTAAAGTTGCAGAGAAGTTTTTACTAAGCCTGTAAATCATGGAAAAAAACTCAAACCAGCCAAAGTATGAGTTTTCAGCGGCAAATTTGTATTCATAATTGCAATTCTTAGAATTACTTACCTCTTCACCAGGATAAATGCCATGTCTTATTCCTGTTCGTCTGGCTTTAGCACTGCACTTGCACAAAGGTCCATCATTCATCTGTCAAAAAAAAATAGGATTCTGTTTTTATTGAAAAACGATTTTGGAAAAGTATGTTGGTTTTAATGCCTGGAGTGCTGATGCTTCTAAAAGCCTGTCATGCTTAGATTAAGTGGATGTTCTTAAGCCAATAAAACTGAAAACAGTATAGACTAATGTAAGAAAAACTGCACAATAGCATTAGAGCTTCATCACTGTTTCAGAAGCACAAGATGGAAAAATGCTCTCGGTAGAATTGTACTACTCTACTATCATATATATCTTTTCCACTTCTTACACGTACAAACAGCACACTGTTGCCTAAAATGAGATTCAGGTCCTAAACACGCACATGCAAGTATTTACATGCTAAAATCTCCGTGTTCAAATAGTTTCAGTCAGTTCACTGACTGAAATCCCATCCCAGATTAACTCCTCTGCAATGTGGCAAGGCTATCACGAAAAGTACACAAAGCAGACCATTTGAAGATTTTACTTGTTACTTTTAAGTAGTAATGGGAACACTTCAAATGCATTCTGTGAACGACCAGTAAAAAAGAAGGCGGGGGCGGGAACATCCACTTTAGTATTCTGTATGGGTGCATCAAGTAGCTATATCAAAAAGGGCCATTGCACAAGGTACAGAGCTAGTGTCTTTCTTTGCACTTTTATGGAGTTCAATGCAGACTCTCAATTACTGCAATACTCTAAAGCTTTCTGCTCTTAACATCATGCCCAGTGCAGAAATCCAACAAAAAACCCAAAACCTAAAAAAACCCCAAAACAACCCAGAACCAAACCTGAGAAACCAATGAAGTTCCCAACCCCAGGCTTTAATAGAGTTTTTCCAAGTTTGAATCCAAGAACTGAAAGGTTCTGCTTAGACTTAGAAAAACCCCAACAACCTTGCAATGCAATACAAAACCCAGAACTTTCCATGCCATTATAAGCAGTCTGAAATTGGAAACAGCATCCATGGTGGGGCTAAATAGTATCATCAGCAAATAGATAGCACGTGAAGAAACTTCAGGAAGCAAGAACCACCAAACTGCTGTTAATGTAGTTTTCAAACAGTTGAGAGGGACACAACTTTTTACTTTTGATGTTAATTCTCTGAACGTTAATGTCAGTTTAATTTCTTCAGACTGGCACAGCACATACATGCAAAGGAACATTAGCAGGGCACTTCTCCTTTGGGAGCTTAGTCATGCAATCTTAACAAGAGTGATATGACAGCTTTTTGTTCACACATTTTTTTTTCTCACACTCAGACTACTGAGGAGAGTACAGGCTCAATGAAACTGAATCATGCTTACAGGTAAAAGCATACTTCCTTACTAGCTTATACAGTCATAAAATGGAAGAGAGTTAAAAAATGCAGTCAAGAGCAAATTGCTAATCACTGCCCAAAAAATAAGAGCCTACTGAGGCTATTAAAATAATCATCACTTATTTTTTAAAATCTCATCCTTAATTCTTAGAACTGTTCAGTACTAACACTGCCTCTGTTACGTTAAATGCACAGACCAAGACTGAGGGAGATGTGAAGTACCTTTAAAGCCCAGGACTTGGGAAACAAGGACACAACTCATGGAAAAAATGCAGAAGAGCAATCATGAAGTGATGATAAAATCATGTTGAAAGATTACAATTTTACATAAATTAAGGCAAGGGCTTCTAACTTCCTCTGGCCAACAGGGCAACACAAACAAGCAGATAACACTTGTAAGCAAAAGGCCACTGTGGTGGCATTGGCTTTAACAATTTATTTTCTGGCAACTGCTAGCACTGCTGGAGATTACCCAAAGCAACAAACACACTGCTCAGACTGAAAGGTTGCGAGGATCCATCCTAAAAATCTAGTTCCGTGTCAGACAGTGTACTTGTACGTACCAGTGTGCACGGCAATCATTCCTGGTTTATGTAGTGATAGTTAGAAAGCATTCTGGCATACCAGATAAATACCTAGGAAAACTTCAAATGTTTTCAAATAAAATCTACTCAAAAGCACTGACAAGCTCACCATGATCTGATTTCAGCCCCTTCAGGAAAGATGAAGAGTCAGTCTCAAGAAAGTTTTTAGGAAAGAAAGTTTTTCAGCAGTAATCTCATAACCCACACAGTCCTGAATCTATTCATCCTACAATTATTCTGCTTCTTTTTATTTAGCTAATATTCTGGCCTACAACATTACTTTGAAGTGTGCCCAAGAGCTACACAATTTTTTCAGTTAAATATCTAAACGGTTCACTAATTTTGTTTTCCATACAAATAAAAACAGCTAGCTATGCTCAGTCATTTTTTTTTTAAACTAGAAGCATAAATACGAGTCTGTAATAGAATATGCAACAGACCTTTGAATTACCACAGTAGCAATCAGCATTGCAGTATCTCTTGGCATTATGATTTGTTGCATGCTAACCTCATGCATCACATGAAGTGCCAGAAAAATACATTTACTGAGATGCCATCTGACAATGAGTTAGAACAGACTGTAAAATATTTAAGTAAGAAAGATGAAGATGGAAAATTTGCAAACAAAAACTAGTCTTCTGTGCAATGTATACATTCAAAACAACACTTCATGAGCTCAGCAATTACATTTAATGAGAACTATAATCTCCATGCAATTACAAAAGAACTATTAGACAAGAAATTAGGAGCATTAACTGCATATTTAAAACATTATTTATCATTATAAGCTGAGAGCTTTTAGGTGAAAAATTTGTAAAGAAGGTAAACATGCTGCCTTTTCACCATCCCAGAATTCATCTGTGTACTATCTCAGGGCTAAGAGGATAGCATTAGTACACCGTTAGCAATTCAGGTTTTATTAACACCGTCTGAATAATCCCCAGGACTCATGAGCTGGAACCACACTCTTGAAATCACAAGTGAAGTGCTTAGAAGATGAGAGAGAAAAGGGGGGTAAAAAATATGTATTGAAATAGATGTCATTCAGCATGTTTAACAACAATGCAGAATTTTAGGTCTGCAGGGGAGAATGACTTTCAGAAACAGTACTTTTTCCTCTCACCATACCTGTCCTGGATCATTGTACCACAGTTCTTCATGGAGACGATCAGGGTGTGCTTTTTTACGCTTAATTTCTGCAATGACGTCAAAAACTTCAGAATCTGAACTGCTAGAGCAGCTGCTGTCATCTTCAGAGTCACAGTCTGAGTCAGTGGAGCTCTCTGATTCACACAGGGGGGAAAATAAAGTCAGCTGAAAAACACTTCCACACACTCTCTTCCCCAGTAGCAATGCATTCTCTAACATGACATAACTAACTGTGGCATACTGAAAGTTATTAAAGTTGTGCATGACATTCACACTAATGAAAAGAGGGACAGCAACTGCATTTTTAATTAAATATGACAGCAAATGCTATTGATATTAAATACCTACAACAATTGTATCTGTTTGCATGCATCTGATTGCTGTTTGGCTGTCTAGGAGCACCACTGATCAGTTGTAGAAAAGCAATTTCAGCTACTTGACATTAAAGATTATAGAGCTATAACCAACACAAGCATGACTGTAAAGTTAAAAAAAAAAAAAAAAAAGAGAGAGGAAAGAGAAAGAATATATATAAGGTCATTATCACGAGCTAAACAAAACCTCTTGTTTAAAAGTTAATTCTGCTTTCCATGAGCAAAGCACTTATGTCTGGTTTCATTTTACCTAAAAATGTTCCTGCGTGTAGGAGGATATTATCTATTTAAGAGTTACAAAACAGCACATATGGATAGAATTATTATAGAACATGTACTATTAGACTGATTTTTCAAAATCAATTATTTCTACTAAATTCGTTATCACATATTAGAAACCACAGAAAAGAAGAAAATCTGGAACTACCAGCTGAGTGAATCCAGCCATAAGTTTTTTGGAAGCCCTGTTCTGTGAGTTTTCCTCCTTACTTTTTTTCCTAAGACTTTTTCTTTGAATTAACTGAAACAATTTTTCTGATATATTGGGGGGACAACAATGCTAAAGAAAAAGGAGAAGATGGTCTTAGACTTCTTAAAATGTCTCCTTTGTGGTCTTGTCAAAGTAATGTCTGGACTTAATAAAAAAAAACCAAAACCAGACCCACAAAAAAACCTAGAGCCTGATCTCACATATCTCTAACCTCCTGTGGTACGTAGAAGTGACTCCCATTCTTATGTATGTAATATTACTCATTTCCACAAATGATCTCAACTCCAAATTAAATAAATGCCTTCATAGCCAAGACATATAGCGTGCAGCAAGTAAGGTTTATTATTCTTGGAAGGAGGGATGCAACATTTCTTCCATTTCTAAGTTTTGACTTAAGAGCAAACACATTACTACACTGCCAGTGCTTTGAAATACTGTGAAATCATGCTTTAAAGTAGGTGTATTTAATTGAATACAAGACTCTCCTTAGAAAAAGAGAGAAAGAGAAAATGAGAGATTACTACTAGTAAAATATGCTTCCCATTTTCCTTTATCTTCCTTCCTTTTTTTTAAATCCAGATGTAGTTTTATACAGTCTGTAATTCAGCATAAGGTGTTATTAAAATGTGTCCCTGGGACATATGGTTTACATAGGTCATATATGCTCAGCTGCTATAAAGTTTTATCTTAATGTGCATACATGTATATACACCTACAAATATTCACAAACATTTGAGTTGTAGAAGTTCTCTGATAAACATTAATAGTTGTAAGTCTAATTTCAGGACCAAAATGAGTGTGGGACCTGTGAGAGTTAAGCTGGAATTCTGAAAGACCAATGCAGAACTTTTCGATTTCATGTACTGAAATCAGCCTTTCAGGATCTAAAAGTGCTCTTCGAGTACATCACTATCTCACTACAGTACACAATTACTGCTAGCACAAGCCAGAAAAGAGACAGCATTTACTTAAGTACAAAATAAGACAAACTATTAGACACTACAGAAGCATGGCTGTAGGAGAAGCTGGCACAGACACCAAGTCAGCCCAGGGGACCAGTGCAAACGCAGAGCCTTCAGGTCCTCCACAAAGAGTGGAAAAAAAGAGAAGTTGCTCTTGGCCCTATATCTTAGCCTGGAGCAGCAAAGGAACTCTTACTGCAGAGATCCAAGGAAGTGAAGCTTTACACAGCTTTGTTGAATGTAGTATTGTCCTGGCTTCACCCACATGAAAATATACCTCCTGAAAAACCCTGCAGTTAACTTTGATTCTTGAGCGAATTTAAATACATGCAAATCAGCTGCTCAGAAAAAGGTGCTTCCTTTACAAAAATGAATTCATATTTATATCTGTGTTTATTATTTTTCTTTCATCCTTATTGTGTCTTTCTACACTGCCCACATGTAACTAACCATGTCATCATATAACTGTATTTCAACTTTAGAATTTTTGACGTGTAATTTGTAAAGAGTTGCTAGGCTCAGATGTGAGAGTCTGAAGCAGTTCAATGGGCAGACATTAAGCTTAATTTAAAAAGCAAGCCCAGCGGAGTATCTAAATTAATGTGACATGCCTAAGAATTTCTTGAACTAATGCAACTGACTGAAAAACACACTATGAAACACTGAAATGTTGAAAGTATAAGAACAGCTAACAGTTCTCACAAAACACAGTAAGAAAAGCAGCCTTCGCTGACTTTTGAGTAGACAAATTGTTATCAAGAAGTATGCCCTGCTAATTCAACCAGTACTGCCCCAGTAACTGATACAGCTGGCAGACTTATTTCACTGGTGGTGAATCCATATGGTGGTACATGACAATGCAGACATGAAAACTGATACTTCTGCATAAGATCATGGTAAGCAGAGTTGCACAACCAAAATACAAGAAAGATGAACGCAGTGCCATAACAAGCAGCCATATGAGTTTATCACAACTACTCTTGCTTCCTTTTTAGAAACGTAAGACCAGGAGCTCCTCAAAGCCTCTTGTGCACCATGCTTTGGCCTATCTGACCATGCTCAGGGTGCTTTCATGCCATGGAAGAGACTTCAGCATAAGACAGTGCTGGATACTCTCCATTTCCCCTCAGGCTTTCTGGCTAAAGAATCTAGCTCTATTTCAGTCAAAAGCAACAGAAAAACTCCCACAGATACTCAATAGAAAGGAAGGATTTAAAAAACACATATTAACCTACCAATGCTATTAAATACAAACAACTGCCAAAACCAGGTTAACTACAGATTATTCTATTTCAGACCTTCATCATCATTTCTGCCTACCTAAATCTTCATCCAGCTTGGTCTTTGGTGGCTCCCATGGTGGCCTGGCTGCTTTGGCCTTTGCCTGTCGCTTTCCTAACTCATCATCAAACTTTTCATACAGATCTCGGAGCTTGCTTGTTCCTACCACAGTAGAGTCCCCCTGTTAAATAAAAAACAGAACAACAAAAAGACAGGGTTGAAATAGCACATGAACACAGCATGCACCAGCATTTCACAGTGAAAAGTAAGGGGGAAAAGATGGATCTTTGCGTAGTGCAATAAAACATGGAAATCCTTGTAAGGCATTAGCATACCATTACATTGCTCTGTCAGATGAATTAGCAGAGAAAATAATTTGCTGGTGCATTATCATCAAACCTTTGGCCTAATAAAGCAGAACTCTGGGTAAGCAGATTTAGTAAAGCTCAGCATTGATTTTTAACAGGTTCAGAAGAAACAGGAGACACATGGAAGTATTTTGCAATGAGAAAGAATTTTATCACACACAAGAAACACGAAGCTCAGCTCATCTTGTTGCCTGCTTTGAATCACCATGAACTCGCTCTCCATATCATTCTCAAAAATACCCCACAAACAAACAAAAAACCCCACCAAAAAACCCAGAAACCTCCCCTCTCTATCACTACTCCACCAGCAAGCGTTACTGTCAAGTACAAAGAATCCTGACTTCCTGCTTCTGTATAAAACCTATATAAACGGTTGTAGGAATACATGGTGATTGAGGCATCTTTGTTCAATTACAGGTATAACAGAAAAAAAACCTCTTCCCTCCCGGAGACAAAAAGCACCCCTCTTCCACGTACCACTAAACTGAATGAAAACAGACAGAAGAAACTGATAAAAACAGAGAATACCAACAAATAAAGCCCTTAACAGGGTTAAAAGACTGAGATGGTTTGGAGGAGAGAAGGATCAAGTGACACAAAACATGATCCCACTGAAGGGTTCATATTAGTCAAGTAATCAAATAATCAATGAAGGACTGTGAACCATAATTTTAGAGTTCTCTCACAGACATACCACTTGATCCATAGGGTCATTGGAATAATAGCTTTCAGAATGGGTACAGCGAACCCAGACTGGCTTAAGTAATTCCTCATCTTCCTCTTCGTTTTTTTCAGATGCATTCTCCTCTGATTCTTTCTCTTTGATAGCAGTATAATTTTTCTCTTTGCTGGAGCACTGGTTCTCAGACCACCTTTCTCTGTCCTCCTCCCATCGGGGTCTCTTTCTCTCTCTGCTTGGAGACCGGCTTAGTGGGAGAAGGCAAACAAAAGCAATTCTCTTTGTTATTTTAACAGTGACAGTTTTATAATGAAAAACAAATAGTTTGCTTTAGATCACTACATCATTCTATCGTATAAACTACAGCAAAATCCAATTGCATCTTCCTGCTTTTAACATGCAACATAGAGTACTTTGTAGTTCTGACCTGCTATAAAAAATGACTTAAAATTGAAAGTGCTTTTTTATTTTAAACCTTATTTAAGAATTAGAATGAAAAAATATATGCTATTTTAGATTAAAATTCCTACTTGCATTCTAGATGACTTAATTTTGTTCCAAAGTTAGAAACTCACAACTAAAATTTACAATATAAAGAAGTTTTAATTAATAGCCCACAAACTATTTGAATGGTAAAAGAATTAGGGGTTTATTAAAAAGATTATACAGACGCCACATTGATTGTGTTACTCTAATTATGGTGCTCCTTTGAACGCCACAACCTGTGATATTCCTTATGTATTCCAAGAGTAATGCTTTCAGAAGCTGAATGTGGGAAAACTACTTTTTTTTTTTCAAATCTCCACTGCCTACAAAGCCAATAATGTTGTACTGATTTCAACTATGCAGGATTCAGAAGGAATCTTTTTTTATGTCAATATAAAAAAGCTCCTAAAATATGATCTAAACCTAGAATGACTTTAAATAATCTTGGTACTTTAAAGACTGAAAGCAGATGTAAGAAGTCTTTAGGACACAGCAGTGAATCTCTCTCTCCAGAGATTAAGCCTGTTTCTAGCTCTACAAGGTCTTGAGATAATTGACATTTGCATGTATACACAGATGGTTATAAATTTAAGACACTCATCTTTTCCAAGTTTCAAGCCAGGCACATATGCACACATACATACAAAAAACTCAGTTGTGTGGGTACACAGAGCCTCAGACACCCAAGAGGCTGAATGCAACCTTCCTTACCTTCCTGCTGCTCTCTTGTAATCTTTTTTGTAGGATCTGTCTGGTGATGGTGATCTTCTGCTGTCACGATGCCTATGCCTCTCCCTCTCCCGCTCCCTTGGAGAGTTCAAAACATAAGTTAAATGAGAAATCTGGCATTTCATACATGCCACACTTGAAAGAAGCACAGAAGCAGGCTGAGATAATGTTATGCAAAATGACACGTGTTGACTGCTAAAACCTCAGATGTTCTGAATGCTGATCTTCAAGAAATTTCTAAGAGACGGTCACTTATCTCCTCCCCCTTTGTCATAAAGCCATCTATCTCAATACGACAGTTAATTCATACCAAACAGAGATAAATTCTATAAACTCACCACAGGACTCATTGCCATTCTTCCTCTTCTGTTACAAGTGGCAAAGGGTAAGATTATTACATCTTTAACCACTCTTAATGCTTCAAGAAAGGGGAAGAAAACCTATACCATGCACAATAGGTTCGTAAGCACAGCAGCCATTCAAGAGCTTCAGGCAAGCCCTCCCTTCCTGATAGCCACCTCAAGCACACACAAAAACCTGATAAACACAGAAAATCTCCCACCATACTGAAACTACAAATCTCATCTACAAAACTCAGCTTCCACGTACACATATAGAACTTGACCACCCAAACATATTTTCAGGACAAACGAGCTTTAAATTAACTGAAGGCTTGGGGAAAAGGACGTGGGGGTGTTGGTCAATATCTGGCTCAATATGAGCCAGCAGTGTGCCCAGGTGGCCAACAAGGCCAACAGCATCTTGGCTTGTATCAAAAATAGCATGGCCAGTGGGACTAGGTAAGTGATTGTCCCCCTGTTCTCAGCACTGGTGAGGCCACACCTCAAGTGCTGTGTTCAGTTTGGGCCCCTCACTACAAGAAGGACATTGAGGTGCTGGAGTGTGTCCAGAGAAGAGCAGCGAAGCTGGTGAAGGGTCTAGAGAACAGGTCTTACGAGGGGTGACTGAGGGAACTGGGGTTGTTTAGCCTGGAGAAAAGGAGGCTGAGGGGAGACCTTATCGCTCTCTACAACTTCTTGAGAGGAGGTTGCAGTGAGGTGTTAGTCTCTTCTCCCAAGTAACAGGCAATAGGACAAGAGGAAACGACCTCAAGTTGTGCCAGGGGAGGTTTAGGTTGGATATTAGGAAAAATTGCTTCACTGAAAGGGTTGTCAATCATTGGAACAGGCTGCCCAGGGAAGAAGTAGTTGAGTCACCATCCCTGGAGGTATTTAAAGTATGTGTAGACATGGCACTTAGGGATGTGATTTAGTGGTGAACTTGGCAGTGTGAGGTTTACAACTGGACATGTCTTAAGGGTCTTTTCCAATCTAAATGACGCTGACATTACTGTGTACATGAGGCAACAAATATCACACAGGCAGTTTTCATACTCTGCTAACAGCTGACAACTTGTTAGTCGGCAATCATTTGTGTATTTATCAAATCTCCTACTAAATGAGGCTGCTGATACACAAGGAATTATAAATATGCGCCTCCAGTGGTTTGGTGGGCTGACAGAATGAGTGAATATTGTTTATGAACATATACATGAATGTTTCCATATGCACAGTATGAAATAGAATGCAAATTTACAAAACACAAAGTTCATATAAATTATCTACTGTTAGTCTTCAGAGAGAGCATATCTGATTTGCTTGAGAGATGGATGCTGTGCAAAAAACACACCAAGGCCAGCAAACAGTTCTCATTAAGATAAGCAGATACATTGTAAGTAGACCTGGAAGCTGTTGTCCTCAAGCAGTAGTCCAGAAGTGTTTGAGAAAGAAGCTGAAAACATATATTTTCAAAACTGAACTTTAAAAATCTAAACATTAAATTGTGAAATTATGTGGCAAATATTTGAATTACATACAAAGGGCAGAAAATTCCACAAGCTCATCACACAGATAAGGCCTGGCCTTAATGCCAGTTGCATTCAGTTTTAGGAAAATCCTCTTTTGGAAATCAACATAAACTTCCCAATGTGAGGTTTGGGGTGGTTTTGGGTTTTTTGGAATAGAGGTTCTGCAATTAAATCTCTGCATATCTGAATCAAAGTGGCTTAATTTCCACAGGCACTATGTGTAAATTCATGTTTCACATGTGACATGAGAAAACTCAGAGCTTCTAAAATTAAAGCACATGATCCAGGTGCCCTGATAAATATTTAGATAGTTAACTTTCCAGTATCTCTTTTTAAATATTCTGACCTAGATCATTAGACACAAAAAGAGCCACCAAGAGGAGAACAAATCTAAGACATCTAAAAGATTTAACTGATGATGCTTTTCTCTAAAGCATCAGAGCAAGCTGTTTGTGCCTATGAAGCAGAGGGACAAACTTCATGATACATCCCAAAATAAGTCCACACTTATCCATCTGAATCACAAGATGTCAACATAGGCTACAACTTGCCTATTTAACTCATGTATGCTAATTTTTACCTCAGTCCTCTTGAGATCACAGGCTGGCTTACTGTTCATCCTGAACAGAATCACACAAACAGATCTAAGCACCCACTTGGGAGGTCCCGTGAAGCCTACCCACATCTGCACTGGTGTCCCACAAGGATGCGGACAGAGCATGATGAAGAATGCTGCACAACATGCTTTTCACTAAAACACCTCACTGCAGGGATTAGATACGTGCACCTGTGTGTTGGGTTTGCA